GGCGGGAGGCCGTCTCCAGATGTTGCTAAGACGGAGCCCATTATCTCTATTGAGGTTAAGCCTACGAATACACATGGTAGTATTTGTGACTGTTCCTTCACACCCCCCCACATGTTAATTACACATGTTAATCGTAATTGATTGTAATAATAATGTTGAGAAAGAAATGGGGTAGCGGATTAAGATGAGCAAAACTGCCCTCGGGAGTAAAAATATTTCATGTTGAAAATCGTAATTAAAGTGGAAAAAACACATTTTTCGCCGGATTAAAAGTAATTCACGCAGAGTACTTCGTACAAAAATAAACTAGCGGTGCTGCCAAATCATATACTTTCTCACATTGTTTCTAAATGTTCCGCAACATCATACTGCTACATACACCAGCAAAAGTGTTTTTAAGCAGCAAATTATTTTTCCTCTCCGAGACTCGAACTCAGAGTTAACGTGCCGGCATTGATACCACCATGCCACAGAAGCGCCTCATGGAACGAATTCGGACAAAGGTATAAATCTATTCCCGATTCATGTAAAGAGAACCCTTCAGCAGTCAAAATATCCGTTGAAAACTTCCAGAGCCTCCTGTTCGTGAAGATCAATCGGGGAATATCAATTTTGAAGAAAATCAGCTGAACGGTTTAGGCGCTAGCGTTAATCACATACGGATAGTCAGACAAACGATCTGACGAACATTATGCCGTCAATCGAATTTTTTGTATCAAAAACCAACAAAACATGTATTCTGGGTACACCACGAGTTAGAAAATTTCCCCCCTCAATTTAGCAACAAGATTTATCCACTTTTGTGTTACCAGAACAAGGCAATAAGATTTATTTTGCCGAAATTTCCTCTTTTTCTGTCTCACGATAACATAACTTTCTCTTCTTACGAGAATTCGTAAGGGGAGAAAAGAATAATTTCGGAACCGTTAGGGATATCTAAATTGGTCACATGGCTAGTGTTCATAATATATTTAAATTTAATGTCAATTGATTTATTAATTTACTTAAATCGGTTCATACAGATGCACAGAATCTCAACAATTGATTTGACTTGTTATACGTTTTACAAATCGCAAAAAAGAGTTGAATTTTTTTTTTAATTTACAAATTGCAGAAGCACGTACAGACACGTCAGGTTTATTTGTATGTGTATCGATAGCATTTGTGTGTAGAAATGCTTCACATGATTTTCAATAAAGTTTCTCGAATCCCTAATCGTTTTCTACAGTAACTTTCCTTAGGTAAAATTAAAAATTCTGATTAAAATTCCCGCGAGGAACTCGAACCGGCCACCTCATGGATTCAATTCATAAACCTGAACAAGCAACTTAATATCGGCCATCCAGAAGGATAAGACCTCTACACTTCCGTATTACTCAAGACAACTTTTTTAGTTCTAGCATTTCAGAGCTGAGAAACTGAGAAAATGCCGTGAAGAGAATGAGGCTTGTCGAAAGTAAAGAGATTAGAATACTAACTACGGCGAGACAGCGTGTATCATTCTGTAGCACCACTATTTGTTTTTTATTTATTATTTTTTTATTTAAATATCTATTTTTCTCCAAACTTTTTCGAATGCCAAAATATCTTTTATTTTGTAGCTTTGAAATTGTTTTACAATTTTCGACAAAAACTAGATTTATCCGAAAATGAGCCCAGCACCATATTTCTTACTCCCCCTTATTACATATGTGGAGGAAATTTAAAGAAAAACTGTTTTTGATAAGAAAATTATAAAAATCAACTACATATTACTCGATAATTATTGTCTTTTACAAAAAATGTACATAACCTTTTTTAAAGACCAAACTTGTACAACAGACTTTAAGACAAAAACTTATATCATCAATTTCATAGTTTTAAAAAACATTTTTGCAATTTTCGAAAAACAGGGATGTCAACGAAAATGAGACCAGCACCATTCTCTTGAACATCTTTCACACTATAAAGCAACAAAATTTAATCAAATTTGGATCAGGGTTTTTTTTCGAAAAAATTCAAAATGTCCGAGGGTTATCATTAAAAGTACCTCCCAAAATTAAAATATGGGTTTCAAATTCCAGGGGCCGCGACATCAACCAGATCGATTGGGGAATATCAATTTTGGAGAAAATTGGCTGGAGCCGCTTGCGTTGACCAAAGACGGACGGACAGACGGACGTTCTGCCGTCAATCGATTTTTTGTATCAAGAACCCACAAAATATGGATTCTGGCTACACCACGTGTTAGCGGATTTGTACTTTCCCGTATACATACTTATATAGGAAGTAATATAGTATAGGAAAATTTATGTAATTATGAGGAAAATCGATTTCGAGATTTCAACGGAAATATAAGTTTTCGGGTCTCCTAATACCGAAATGTTGTAATTTTCGAAACGTCCGTCCGTCTTTCTGGTGTATGTGAACAACGCTAGCGCCTAAACCATGCGTAGGATGTTTCCAAACTGATGAAATCCTGTTCATTTGACCGCGTCAAAGCTGTGCGTTTTTGAAAGTCACTATTTTTTGGGGGTACTTCATATGAAACCCTCTAACATTTTCAAAATTTTCTCAAGAATGGCTTTATTTTTTCTTTAAGTTTCTCCTCAGAATGTAGTAAAATACACTAATAAAGGTGGCATAGGTCCGGCTTCCTAAAACCACAAAATTCTAGTTTTCCTTAACATGAAATTTGTTGTTTATAATTTGTCCCTTCATTAGTCTTGTAATTTGTTGTGAGAGACTCATTAGTTTTCGCCCAGTATTGCGTGAGATTTGTACAATTTATAATAATTACAAAAACAAGATTTTTAAAACACGGCTCAATTTTAATTTTTAAACTTTTGGTGGGGATTGTGGTAAATGCACTTAATAAGATGACATATACGCCTTATTGCTCTATTCTCCTGAATGTGTGCTTTAAAAATGTCATATAGAGCCTCTTCGAAAATTCAACCGTTTGCTCTGAAAACTAGCCCAAAATTTAGCTTTTTCAGAAACGCTGAAATGCTATTTTGTTAAAAACTGTTTTAATTTTTTTCTTCAAACTTCTCGAAAGGTAGTGCTAATTGCACTCTTTAATATGACGTAATGTTCTTTCGGGATATTTTTTTGTTTTTTCAAAAAGTACTCAAATGTTTTCTTTAAAATCACTCACGCCGGTAATATGCACATTTCCATCAATTTCTACACACTATTGTACTTGTTAGTTATGGTGCTTCAAATGTCTTCTAATGAAGTTTTTCTAAAACTCAAAAATTGTGTGAGGAAATGTGCTTCAAATTTCGTATTTAGTGTAGCGCTTAAGCGCCATTTTCTTAAAAATGGCTCCAAAGTTATCAATGAAGATATCCATTTAGGACGCGTTTTATACTGTTCTTTAATATGCTTAAAATAATATTTCCTATTATTAGTAAACCGAAAAAATGTTTTGGGCGGCGATGGTAGGGAGCAGGCAAGACTATGTGGCAAGTTTGAATAGATAGCCGAAACGATAAGAAATAGAAAACTAGAACGGGAAAGTCTGTGCCATTCTGTAGCTCTACTAGTTTTTTATAAATTTAGCAACAGGATTTAACCATTTTTCTCGTTACCAGAGCCTAAGACTTTTTCTGGTGACGATTCCTTGTTTTCCGGGGCACGATTGCATAACTTTCTCTTCTTACGAAGAATTCGTAAGGTGAGAAAGTAAAAATAATGCAAACTAGAATTTGTAAAAAGTCAGATTTATATTTTTATGTTCTTGTCTTACGAGTTCTTCGTAAGAAGGGAAAGTTAAGTAATCGAAATTCCACCTGAACGCCAAACGTCGAAGTGTGTGGTGTGGACGGAAGGAGAAGAAACTCGAAGCAGGCGCGGCAGTAAATGTGCTCAAGTGACAGTGAATATGGCGTGAGGCAGTAGCGGGCGTGCGGAAGAAGGGAGACGTGGGCTGCCCGCCGCAGCGCACGGTTCAGCGGTTGACGTGGCATCAAAGGGGCAATCGGCTCGCTGGTCCTGCTCTGTCTGTCTTGCTCTCTATCTCTATCTCTGTATATCTCTCTTCTACGGGCAGCCGACGGATGCTGATTGGTGTGGAAATCCGGAAGGCAGTTAATCGCTAACCCATATAAATTACTGTTGTTTGAGAACCTTGAATGTGACGTAAGATTCATTGCAAAAAGAGCAAATTAATATCATCAGTGTTATAAAAATATGTAAACTCAGTAGAGTAGTATAATTGCGCATTGCAATTTTCGGCTTTATTTTGTATCAAAATTTTAAAATAACTTGAAAGCCATCGTGTTTCCGACTAAAATTTCTTTAACTACATTCTTATACTCCCGGTCTCAACTTTAAGTTACTGTATGTTTGCATAGACGGTAAATGCACCCTTCCCTGCGATTACATTCACCAAAATTCTGTCAAAGACTGTGTTTCCTGTTGAGTGTCTAGCCGGGTAAGCTAGTGACTCGTCGGTAATGGGCGGTTCGCATCACAGTATGTATTTTTAATTGTTTCAGTGTTTCTTCTAGAGAAGTCGTAAATTGTATGTAATTTCAGTGCCCTTGTGATAAAATAATGTGATGCGTGAATGGTCGAATCCATAATTACAAATTGAGAGGGGGATTGTTTGTCCGCCTCTCCACAGTGGCTTCTCTGAAAGGGTGGGGATCAGGCATATTTAAGGGGGTGAACTGTCCTGATGTCCTGCTAAGAAACGCGTCGGGAGGGGACTGGTGAGGGCTGTGTGTGCTGGAGTGTGGTGAGAGTAGAGAGATACCACAGAGAGAGGCTGAAGAGTCATGACTTGGAGATGAGGTTGGAAAATGGGACACTACTCTTGTAGTCGAAGTTGTGAGTGTAAAAGTGACATTGGTTAATAAAATAATTATTTGAAACATGTGATTTATTCTGATAAGAAAGCATTACACAACACCAATTTTGTTTCATGGATATTGTTCTTAGATTGCGAGATCATTGTAATAGAGGTAATAGAATCTTCAGTTTCAGTATTAATTAAATCGTGTTTATTTCAGACGTATCAACAACAATCGGCTGCGTCACTTACCAGATGGTTTGTTCGGGAATATGCCAAATTTACTGAGATTGTAAGTATTGTTTGTTTATTTTTATTATTGCAATTTTAGAAAATCACTGTTCATCGATATGTCTGAGTGAAGATAATCTGACGTTACTGGCGAGGATTCAATGCTTTTTAATATGCCCTTATTGTACATATTAGTGCTTTTACGCTGCGTATTATTTGAGGGAATTGTAAATGATTTGCAATTATTACTAGCCCTCTAAACTCACTAAATTCGCTGTCGTTTCGCAAAAACTCATGTTGACGAATACCGAAGTAACCTAATACGAAGTGATGGGTAAAATGGGCTTCATATGTCTGCTCTTTGCGTCAAAGTATCAAATTATCTAGAACAACACATACACATTATATCAGTGATAATTTTTAAGAAATAGTACTCACATTTGTGATTCATAAATAAAACTGGATACCGACAATGGGCCCCAAATCTTTTTTCTCTGTTTTTGTTTACGTAAAGAATTACGGTCTGGTCGTTTAGGACTTTCACTAATAGGAACTACGCTTATCGTATGCTTAGAAAAAATCGAAACCGTCACAATGCGCATTAGCTCCCTAAAAAACCTTGAAGCCCATCTACAATTGCTCTCCTGCATTGTTGTAAATTTGTTCCTATTGCCTTTCGTTGAAATATTTTCATCTAAGTCAAGAATAACCGCTTTGTGATCGATAATGCCCTCAACAACTTCACAAGATACGGAAAGTTCTTTGGGCCTAATTAAGTAGACATCCAAAATCGCATCCCGCCGCGTCTCGCTATATGTGTTAATCTGCTGTTCGAAACTAGAGTGTTCACAAGTGTTTGGACTTTCCACTCGCTCATGGCTCCGTCGCAGTTTTCGCTAGGAATATTTGTCTCCTCCAGTAACAATAGGGTGGCCACTCGTGTTTCCTGTTCTCTGAATGATGTCATCTAAAATGTCGAAACCGTCGCTCAGAGGCCTATAGCATGGAATGATTCCCAATGTGGATCCTGTACTAATAGTTTATATTCCCATCATTTCAAACTCTGTACTGACCCAATCTAATCTAATATTCATACCTGCTTTGACACAAAAACACTGACCCCCTCTACCAGTTCTATCCTTCCTGATCTCTACATCTTGTAATGAAAATGAAAAATTTCAGAGGCTCAAATTGCCTCAGTTAGCCACGACTCAGTCCCTATCACTATGTCGGGATCGCAGACATCAACTTGATTCCAAAACTCCATCTCTTTCTGTATTATACCACGATAGTTTACCGGCAACAATCTAAGAAATCCTTACCTCACCTGAATGTGTTCTCGAGAAGGCGCGTCCCTCAGAGCCACGGAAAGCTCATCGAAAACGTCACATGCCCATACTAAACTGCGATTTGAGGCGTATGATCTTCTAATGGACACATCACCTTAGCATTTTTGTACTTAGCTTAGATGGCCTGGCAAAGTTCAACACACTGGTTAATAGTGTCCAAAATGGATGTCAATTTCAGCGCGTTTGTGTCTATATGAACGAGTACCACTTCTATTTCATAGTTTTGCTTGGCTTTTTCCACTACAGAGGTCATTTTCTCGATGTAAGTTCCAGGGAAGAAAGAAACATGTGCTACTTTTTCGAACACACTGCCTCTGTGCCGCAGCATCGAATCGCTTATAACCTTAACTTTTCCGGTATATGGAGAATCTAACGAGACTCACTCGCATTCGACCGCACATATCTCGCCTTTTTTGCGTGGGTAATCCTGATCTTCCTTACCTTTAACATCTTCCAATTCCTTAATTTTTAGTCAGTTCTCCAATATATGTATGAGCCTGAGCCAGGTCTGCTTCCAATCTACGTATTCGCCGGTTACTCCTATCGCACTTGAAGCATGTCTCCGCAGTAGCCAGCACAGCGGGCCGGGTATTGCTCCACTCCTATCGCAAGGAGGGTGGCCAAAACAGCTGCACAAAGTAGCTGCCTGCTAACACAGCCACCGCCTTTCGAACAAGAATGTCCCGCTTGCGCCGAAACCGCCCGGGCAGGGCGGATGCGCGCAGCCCACGCGCCAACGCGCGCCCGGTGCAAAGCGAGGTCCACACCCATGGCCTTTCACGTCATCGAGCTAAGAGAAGGCGTCCGCTCGCGACGACTACCTGTGAGCGACAATGCCGATCTTGAACAGCTATTACAGCTGCTTCTGATTCTAGCTTCATTCTTCCCCTTTTAACCACATAAATGATTGATCTTTATTGATCCGTACCTTGTTCATTCGTTGTACATATTGCCTATGGAGTAGTTTGTCTCTTTATCGTTTCTTTAACATTTTTGTGCCACATTTTATGAAGCATCAGAAGTTCCGTGTGTGTTATTGAGCGGAAACATGATTATCCACTAATTCACGACAAAAGTGTTATGAGTCAGTTGAGACAAAAGTGTTATGAGCCTTCTCCGGGTTACAACCATGCTTCTAAGGAGCAGATCTAGGGACTCTTCTCTAGAATTATTAGTTTGTTCACATCCTCTAATAGGGCAAAGGCGTCTTACATTCTAAGATATTTTAACATAAGCTAGATAGCTTGTTAGTAACAATTTAATACGGCGTTCGCTATTCATTTGTTCTCGGTTTAAGACACCGTGTCGCTACACTAATGTATTCTTATGTATTTGTTTCTTAATATATACAGCATTACTTTAAAGAAGCATATTTTTCATAAAAAATTAATATTTTTAACGAAGAGAAAAGACGTTTGAAAATTGCAAGTGTTTAAAAGTGCAAACGCGAGTTAAATACGTGGCGAAGTGCGACACGCAGCCTCCAAGAAGAGCAACATGGCGGTCCATGCAAGTGGCAACGAAAATGCTAGCACCATCGTGCACGTCTACGGCAATATTGGTTCCATGGCAGAGTTTCGCTTTGGGTTGATTAGGAAGTGTATCAGGAGCGACTCGGCAATATTTTGAAGCAAATTACGTAACTGGATGCGAAATGTTCAAGTCCTATTGCCTTATTGGATCAGAAACAATATTCTGCGTGATTCGTGTGATAGTGCCCTCCCGAAAACCAATACATTTGGTGAATTGGGCGAACTTCTAAATAGACAGTATTCCTTAAGAATTTGTGTTCAAAGAACGGCTAGAATTTTGCGAGCAGAAAGAGATGCCACAGCAGTCGAGCAGCCAATGGTACGCTAGAATCAAGAGCAAGGTCGTCAATTGTAAGTTCAGCAACCAATTGAAAGGCAAGCCGAAAGATAAATTCGTCACAGGGATGCACAAAGGTCTCATTCTGGATCCGTGTATGCGAAGAGGAGCACACTGCGACATTTGCGGTAATTACGAATCGGTGCTAAACAAGGAAGCTTCGTTATTGACAGCGCCAATCATCTCAGTCAACAGGAAGGATGCTAAGGCAACAGGCGGCATGCTCGTGGCTCACTTGCCTTTTACCACTGAGATTCCCGGTCTTATTCCAGTCAAAACGAGTTTGCCTGCTTCACAGGGTCTAGTCCAATCACTGTGAAGCGAACTCAACCTTACCCCTATCCTTATTCCTTCCCAATTCTAAACCAACGGGTAGATGACGCAGGGCGCGTGCGAGACGCGAGCGCAAAGACGCTACCTCTCGGCGATTCCCTGACTTAACTATGACTGACGTGGCACAGCGGCCCCTAGAGGGCGCTTAATAATGAATTACTCCAGTGCGCTCAGCGCTTCTTACGGAGTTTGGGAGACGCGTTGCGTCTATGTAGACAGAACGATAAGAAAGTGAAGCAGCCTCAGTCGACCAGTGAGAAGGAGCCTAATGAGACACATCAGATTAAAGTTTGTAAAAACTGCCGCAAACATCATAATTTTACGAAGTGTTAATATCGGGCGTATTTAAAAAACGTCCTTCCGCCGGTCATTTAGCGCGCGTATGTAACAAGGTTGATAAAGAAAACGATACTTCCGTGATGCAATTACTCATTTCATGCAAAATGATTCTGAAGTTGATGTTAACAGCAGATTTAAAATATATTGATGTGTTCAATTTAGCGGGCATCACGTCAACAAAACCATTTTGATTAACGTCAAAGTCCAAAATGTTGATATACAGATTGAAGTCTACTCGGGTGCCGAAGTATTTCAGGCAAGTTTCGTCAAGACAAATTTAAAGACTGTAAAATAGAACCAACTTTAGTAAGCTTACGCATGTACAATGGTTACGTAATTGTACCGATGGCTCAAATATTACTCCCGATCGAGTACGAAAATCAAAAGAGGCGCGGGTAGTCATTGTGAGAACGAAACCGACCGTTATTCAGACGCGATTTAATGGAAGCCATTTCATTAAATATAACCAAAATGAATTCGTTGAGCACGGTCATGAGGGAGTTGAAAACGTTACTATGTACGCACACGTTAGGCTGCTATCAGTACAAAATATAACCTTAAATGTACAATAAAATATTCAGCCAATTTTTGTTAAATCATGGCCAGTAGCTTTCACGCACAGTGGAAATGGAATCATTCAATAATATTGAATCACTTGGAAGGAAAAGTACTTATTATCTTGCTTAAAAATACTTTGCGCCATGCTAATTCTTCTTATATTCTTCTTACTCTCTCTGACAAGAAACCAACGATCTCCGATCACTGCAGGATTTTTGCGGCCTTGATATCTCTTTTCCATTGTAGCAATATCTTGATAAAACCGTTCATCATATTCGTTCACGTTATTTCATGTCACCTACATTCTTTTATCGCCCAAAGGGAGGATGCTGAGAAGTCTCTCATGTATTCCTTTCTCAATCTTTCATCGTCCTGCTTTTTATTTTATGTCGCCCTCATTCTTTTATCGCCCTTTTTGGAGTGCGATCCCCACTCGAACTCGGATCCTGACGCTCAGTCTTTCATCTCTGTCAAAGATAATTAGTTTAGAATTTTGAAATCTGCGCCTGAGGCAATATATACCTAACCCTCTTTGCTGCTTCAAGTGTCAGAGGTTTGGCCCTACGCAACAACGGTACATGCCCGAAAATCCCTGTTTGCGCAAAGTGCGCAA